TTGTCAAGAACTAGAACAGGCCATGGAAATCCATGGAAGTGGTGGAGTCACCATCCCTGGAAGTGTTCAAAAAACATGGATATGACACTTGAGAACATGGGTTAGTGGTGACCATGGTGATGGTGCTGATGATTGGACTTGGTGACCTCAAAGGTCTTTTCTAACCTTCATGATGCTGAGATTCCATGATTCCAAACTGCTGCTGAAAAGGAAAGGCTGTTCCTGGCATTCCAGTTCCTGGGAAGTGGTTGGGTGTCACAGAACTGGGACAACACCAGCACAAGGACACGGGGCTGGCCAGAACCATCCACCCATCCCTCCTGCTCCAGGGATCCATGCACTGGGATGCAAACTCAGGCACAGGAGCAGCAGCACTGCTGGCCGTATCCTACCTCCAGCCACTCCTCCTTCCCGTTCCCAGCACGGCCATTCCCATCCCCAGGAGCTTTAACATTTCTCTGCAATTGGCTCTCCAGCCCAGCCCCAGCCTGGTTTCTCTGTTGGATTTCTCTGCATGTCCATTTAATAACTCCAATGTGCTTAAACCCCCAGAATTTGAGCCTCCATTGATTTTTCCGTTTCCCATCTTTTCCAAAAGGCGAATGTTTAAAATGATCTATGAGCCAAGAGCTCAGTGCTCGTTTCTGCCTCCTCTGAAGCTTTTCTCTGTGGCTGGAAAACTGTGGACATTGGTAATATAAAAATAAGGTTCCTCCAAACAGCCCCAGTTTCATTAGGAGGTTGTCATAAAAGTTATTCCAAACCTTGCTCCAGTAAACTGGGGAGAGCAGGGACTGCTCAGGCTGCTGCTCTCTGAACTGGGCTCAGAGAAGCAAACCTCCAGAAAGGGTCTGAGGGTTTGTTTCACGTCAGTATTAAATTCTGACAACGTTAACACTGCTCAAACAGCAGCTGGGAGAGACTGGAATTACCTCCAAAAGCATCACATGTGAATGCAGGCCCTGCAGTGGCAGGTCCTGATGGGAGCTGTGGGAGGGGAGTGTCAGGTGTGATGTCACAGCTCAGCTTTGGGGACAACAGATTCTGGTAATGTTGATATTGGAATTATAGAATGGGTTGGGTTGGGAGGGACCTTGAAGATCATCTCTTCCTGCTGAAGTCAACAATAAAGTTACTACTGGTTTTAGTAAGAGCAGAATTAGGCTGAATTCTTAACCTTACCACCTACTTCTCAATCTGGATCCCTTTGGAGAAGATCCAAGCACATGGAGTGTCCCTTTGCAGTCTAATACAACATAGATGGAATTGTTGTTCCCTGAAATCCAGATACATTTTCAAAATCTGCCACTTCCCATTAGGGTGCTGCAGAAGCCCTGGGAGAATGACGACAGTTTTATCCAAAAGGTTAAGCAAAACATAATGAATGGAAAATATTGGCTGTGACAGAGCTGAAACAGAGATTTTGAGGTTTTAAAAAACACCCAGATATTTAAGGCTCTTTAAAGGAACTTGACACATTTTTGTGAGTCTGGTACCTGAACACTGAAATGTACATTTTCAATTTGAAGGCAAGCAGCCTGTTCAAAGTATTCTACAAATGTTTTTAAAGTCTCACTCACTGGGTCTGAAACAAGCTCCTTCAAAATCCAAATATGACAAATCCTGCTGGCCTGTAGCTCCCTTCCTTCTTTTCCTTTTCCAAGCAGGATGGGGATTAGCTGCTCCTGGACAGGTGTAGCCACACATCAGCTTCCAAGAGACATTCCTTTCTAAGCTCCTGGCTCTCCCTGTGCTGGGGGAGGTCATTTCCCCTCTCAGCAGTTGCTGAGGTAACAGTGAATATCCTTCATCTGGCTTTTTTTAGATATTACATCTTGCTCATTTCTAAGCTGCTTCTTGCTAAGAAGGCACTTCATGCAATCTAATTTTTCCATATTCCAGGAAAAAAGCAGGTTGGGGATCTTGATCTGAAGGCAGGAGACAGACTGACACTTGTTTTTACTGGGCAGTCAGAGCAGGAAGGTTCATTCCTCCTGCTGCAGGACCATTATTTCAACAATCTAATTTTTAAATGATGAAAATTGAAATGTCTCTGCCATGTGAAAGCCCCAATTTTTCTTTTATATGGAAAACACTTGTCTGAGCTGCAGAGGTGGTGCTGAGAGCTCTGAACCTGCTCTGGGGAATGTGGGGGTTGTTCAAACATGCCAGGCAAGGGCTGCAGGTCACTGGGTCAGAATTCACCTGGAATTTCTTTGACTTTCCCTGCTGAAGATCCCTCAGAAAAGCAGATTATTTAATTTTGTCCTTCCTTCAGATGCAGGTCTGGCCCAGGCTGCTGCCATTGTCTGTCTTACCTGGGTGCAAACAGATCCTTGGGAACCAGCCCAAGGAGGACACTGGGGAGCTCGGGGGTGTGTTCAGCCTTGCCCAGAGTGGCCAGTGCCTCCTCACCAGGGCCTGTCAAGAGGGAGCAGTGAAGAAGAAGAAGATGATGATGATGATGGTGGCTGCCTGTTTTACAGCTTCTCAAAGCCTGAGTCTTACTGAAGTCTGAGAATTGTCCTGGGGTCACACACAGGCAGGTGTGATGTACCAAGTTACTGAGACACTGAGCTCTGCTCTGGGGGACCAGGGACAGCAGCCAGGGAATGGCTGGAGCTGTGTCAGGGCAGGCTCAGGTTGGATCTCAGCCAAAGGTTCTTCCCCCAGAGGCTGGTTGGGCACTGCCCAGGCTCCCCAGGGCAGTGGGCACAGCCCCAAGGCTGCCAGAGCTCCAGGAGGGTTTGGCTGATCCTCTGGGGCACAGGGGGTGACTCTTGGGGATGGGCCTGTGCAGGGCCAGGAGTTGGACACGATGATCTTTTTGGGTCCTTTCCAGCTCAGCACATTCTGTGACTCTGTGATTCTGTGAGTGAGGGGAAATTTGCCCTGAACTCCAGCTGTGCTCCAAGTCTCCCAAATACTCTGCCAGATTCTCCTGGAGAGGTTTTAGAGGATGTGGACCACATGAAGGAGTGGTCTTAGTGACAGAAGTCATGTCCAAGAAGCACCTGCTGCTTGACATTTTTCCTTTATTTCTCCATTCACTTGAGGAAGGGGGGTCACCTCAGTCACCTCGGCCAGGAGTCACCTCATCTCCTCAGCAGTTACTGGGAAAAAGCCACCTAAAATGTACAGAATGAACCATGAGAGACTCCTCTTTCCTCCAAATAAGGGAGTCCAGGCAATTGAGTGAGTGCAGAAACCCAATCTGTGTGTGGGTTAAACTGGAGGGATGAAATAATCCTGGTGCTACACGACCAGAAGATGCTGGAGGTGTTGGGATCAGCCTCAGATTTCATCCCTGGCTAATCAGGATTCCTGCTCCTGTTTGCAGGAGCCTCAGGTGAGGCAGCAGCCATACAATAAATGCCTCTTCATGTCCCAGATTCACCAAACTGCTGTAAAACTTGAAGGAGGGATGGTCATTTTGGCCAAACTGCAGCGTGGACAGGGCTCTGAGCAACCTGGTCCATTGGAAGGGTTGGAATGAGATGAGTTTTAAGGTCCCTTCCAACCCAAATTATTCCATGATTCTGTGATTTCCTGTCTGTATTATGGGAATTCCGTACAGCTGGAGCCCCAGAACCAGTCTTGAGGGCAACAAATGCTTCTGGATATAAACCTGGTGCCCACAGAGATGCCTTGCTGCATCACCCTGCCCATCACCAGGAACTGTGATGGCATTGGCAGAGATGTGGAACTGGCACAGGGAGAAATGCTGGCACTGCAAAATACCCAATTTTATTTTGAAGTTATCATTCAGCATGAGTTCTTCAAAGACCAGTCCTAAGCTTTTGAAAAAGGGCTGCCATTTAGTCCATGTTTCCCTCCCTGTGTGGCCTCAGGCTGAGTTGCAAAGGACAGCCCTGGTGTTTACCCCTCAGAAAAGCCTGTGCCCCCTTTCCCAACAAAACACCTGCAGCCCCTTGTCAGGAGCACATGTCCTTGACCAGCAGAACACAGGGAACATCCAGGAGCAGCTGGACCCTGGTCCCTATTGGTTACAGGGAAATATTTTTTGTAGTATCCCAGAAAAATCTGCTCATGGTGGATGAAAGAAGAGCCCAGGGCTGGTTCACCACAGAGCTGTGGATGGTCCATAAAATTGTTAAGGGTGGAAGGCCATCCATGATCACTGAGTCCAAACTTGGACTGAATCCCACCATGCCCATAAACCAGATGTGGTAAGGTGAAGGAATGAGTCTGAGTGGGAAAGCAGCCCTTGAAGGGCAGAGGCCTGGAAGCTGCCACATTGTCAGCTCTCAGCATGGTCTGATGGGCTGGGACAGCAGCAAACCCCACCAACAAAGGGGGTTGCCAGGATAAGTGGAGGGAAGGAGGGGTATTTCCAGCACCCTTCTCCCTGTAGCTCCATGTGTCTGCTGGGCTGGTGGATGGGAACATCCAGCACAGCAACCAACCCTGCCCTGGGCCTGGCAAAGGAGCTCTGGAGCCACAGAGTCACAGAATATGCTGAGCTGGAAGGGACCCACAAGGAACATCCAGTCCAACCCCCAGCCCTGCACAGGCCCATCCCCAAGAGTCACCCCCTGTGCCCCAGAGGATCAGCCAAACCCTCCTGGAGCTCTGGCAGCCTTGGGGCTGTGCCCACTGCCCTGGGGAGCCTGGGCAGTGCCCAACCAGCCTCTGGGGGAAGAACCTTTGCCTGAGATCCAACCTGAGCCTGCCCTGACACAGCTCCAGCCCTTCCCTGGCTGCTGTCCCTGGTCCCCCCAGAGCAGAGCTCAGTCCCTGCCCCTCCTCTGCCCCTGCCCAGGAAGGTGGAACTGCACTGAGGTCTCCCCTCAGTCTCCTCTTCTCCAGCTGAACACACCAAGTGCCCTCAGTGTCCTCACACACCTTCAAATCCAGGCCCTTCCCCATCCTCCTTCCCTGCTTTGGACACTCTCTAATGGCTCAATCTCTTCCTTATATTGTGGTGTCCAAGACTGAGCTCCTGCTGATTCCACAGGAGAGGGCACCTCAAATGCTCTGTTGGCTAAGGCTGTGTCCATCACACCCCATATTCCCACAGAAGCTGCACGTGGAGATAGGTTTTGCTCCAGGACAGAGTAGACAGATGTCACCTGGATCTCAAGCCCTGCAAGAAGAAGAAGCTCCTTGAGCAGGTCCACAAGAGGCCACAGCTGAGCTCTCCTTGTCCCTGCTCTGCCCCCCAGCACAGGTTTGTGCAGTCAATGACAGCTGTGTCTGCCCGCAGCTCCCCTCCAGGCTCTCACCTTCCATGGAGGGTGGATGTCTTGGGGAGAGTGCCCCAGATCCAGCAGAGTCATGTGGCTCAGGCTCTATTTGCTGTTATTGCTGCTTTCAAGTGGAAAATTGCTCTAATAGCAGCCCTTTCTCCCCACACAGCAGTGTGCACGTTGGGACAGTGTTCTGGGAGGGCCATCAGCAGCCACTGGCACACAGAAGTGACAGATGCTGTCTGCAAATAATGAGCTGAAGCAGTTTCCTTTGGAAGGGAACTTAAGCAAAGTCCCTTTGAGTTCGAAAAGCCAAAGAGGTTCCCATTTGTCCTGCTCTGGAAAGGCACATTCCATCGGCTCACATGGCATAATTATTTTTTAACTGTTTCTCTCACACAGATTTCTCTGGAGAGAGGAAATGCCCTGTTTCCTGTTTTCTGAGCATTTCCTACTGGGGACAAGCATGAGAGGGAATTAAGTTTATGGCTTATTCTGTTCCCTCCCCACGTGTTCCATGTCTGCCCAACTCACAGGGATGAGGTGCATAATCACGGGATAAAGCATCTCACACCTTTGGGATCCTCACATTTATTCTTTGCAACTCCCACAAAAATACTTTCAGCCATTTAGGTCTGTGAAGAGTCTCACACTTTTGAGATTGAAGGGAGACCACTGGGATGCTCCATCCTGAGCCTTTGATCCTTCTCTCCCTCCTTCCTGCTTTTCTCTGATGAAGCCACAGTCCTGTGCCAGGGGGGCTTTTCCTGGTGTAGCACAATCAGGTGTTCAAAGTCATCCCCTCACCTCAGAGTTCTCAAGAAGGAAGTCCAGATCACTGAGAATGAAGGACTCAAAGCTTTCTAGCCAGATATTTCCAAACCTGTTAGTGAACTAGAGGCAAAGTTTGCCTTTAATGGTGTAAATCATCTTTCTATTGTAATATGCACAATTCTGCATTTCATATTTTGAGATTATTGCCGTAATCCTGAGTCCTGATGATGAAATGAGGCTCTGGGAGGTTACAGAGAGCTGAGATCTTAGAGAGATCCAGCATCTGTTACTTCCACACTTCTGCAGGTGCCTGAACCGACAGAAGGAAATGATCTGCATGGGGCTCCTCTACAGCACAAATAGCTCTTGATTCACAATCCCTCTCATTAGAGGCTTTGGAAAGTCTATAAGAATTGAATTTCTTCCAGCGTGACCTGTTCTCTTGGGCTTCTTTAGTAGTGGAAGTCCAAGCAAATCCAACCTAGGGTGCTGTAATTTACTGTACATTAGCTGGAATTAATGGTGGGAGCTCTGTTCCACAGCACGTTAAATCGACACACAAATGGATCAAAATAATGAACCACCATCCTTTGAGGCATCAGGGGGTAGAGCCAAGGCACTGCCTCAATCTTAATTCTGTCTCTTATTTTTAAAGCATGATTTTCAAAACTCTATGAGGCATTTTTCCCTGTATTCATTTCACTTCTTCCCTTTCTGGCTCTGGGTGCTCTTCTTTCTGCATATCTAGAGATGAAAAGCATATTTCTGCAGATTTGGAAAGGTGAAATGTGGTGGCAAATTAATCAATACTAATAATCATTTCTATAGATGAAACTCATATACCAAAGGAAACCAAAATAAGGGGGTTCTACCTAATGGTGGCCTTCCAGGACCTGAAGGAGCCCACAGGAGAGATGGAGAGAGACTATTTCCAAGGACCTGGAGTGACAGGACAAGGGGAATGGCTTCAGACTGACAGAGGGCAGGGTTACACGAGATATTGGGAAGAAATCCTTCCCTAGGAGGGTGGGGAGGCCCTGGCACAGGTTGCCCAGAGAAGCTGTGGCT